AGATCATATGATACATGTCTTTCTCTGTTTGACTTATTTCACTCAACATAATACCCTCCAGTTCCATCCACGTCGTTGCAAATGGCAAGATCTCATTCCTCCAAAAGGTACTTCTTAAGTGATAAAACTTTCTTTTCGTTATCAGTGCATTCATTCACTGAAGCAGCTTTGATTAAGCAGCCCCGTGAGCCAAGCAAGAACTGTTGTAGGGAAAACATAACAATGAATAAGACAGAAAATGTTCAGCCCCCAGGAAGCATATGATCTAGTAGGGGGAGACAGAAGTGAAGGCTCAAACAAATACAGAGATAATATAATACCCGGTAGGAAGGAAGGGGAGTAGAGGAGACAGCCAAAGGAGATAGAAGAACTGGTCAGGTCGGGGAGGGAGAGTCGTGGCAGCTATTTTAGAAAAGGCGGTGGGGGCGCCTGGGTGGCTCAGTCGGTGAAGCGTCTGCCTTCGGCTCAGGTCATGATCCCAGAGTCCTGGGATCGAGCCCCACATTGGGCTCCCTGCTCCACAGGAAGCCTGCTTCTCCCTCTCCCACTCCCTCTGCTTCTGTTCCCTCTCTCGCTGTGTCTCTCTCCATCAAATAAATAAATAAAATCTTTAAAAAAAAAAAAAAAAAGAAAAGGCGGTGAGTAGAGGCCTTGGAATGGAGCCATAATAAAAACTGGGACAAAGTTCCCCAATGCCAAGTACTAGGGTGTTCAGGTGAGAAACGGTTTGTTCAAAGAACAGCAAAGTCAGCATGGCTAGAACAGAAAGGGGCAAGCAGAGCAGATGCTGCTAGAGGGGCAGGCCACGTAGGAAGGCCTGGTGAGAGCTTTGGATTTGAACCTCCACCTTGGAGGATTCTGAGCAAGGGAGAGATATGAGCTAACTTACATTTTTAAGAGATCTCGATGGAAAAGAGACTGGCGGGGAGCTGGCAAGAAGGGCGAGTGGGGGGTGGCTTAGGGAGGAAGAGACAGATAGCAGGAGAATGATTTCTCACAGTCACCCAGCAAGAGGGGAGATTTAGACCGGACTGGACTGGGGGATGGTGTGGAGTCAAAGGGAAGAGGAGAGAAAGAAAGAGAGCGAGCACGAGCGGGGGGCGGGGGGGGTGCGGGGGGAAGGGAGAAGCAGGCTTCCCGCTGAGCAGGGAGCCCTATGCTGGGCTCAATTCCAGGAACCCCAGATCATGACCTGAGCTGGAGGCAGATGCTTAACCAACTGAGCCACCCAGGCACCCCTAAATGGATAAATACCTCTAAAAATAAATAAAACTATGAGATTCATCAATGTTGATATGTGTAAACCTAGTTTATAGTTTTACTACTATGTAGCAATACCACTCATGAAAATACTGTAATTCATTTATCTAGTTACCCATTGGGTGATATTTGGCTTGTTGGTAATTTTTACTATTACAAACAGCATAACAGGACAAAAAGGGTGAGTAATTGGTGTACAGTTTATCATATCCATGTGTAAAGCTTCCCTCGGTTACAGACCTAGAAGTGGAATTAGCGAGTTGTAGGATATGAGCACCTTCAACTTCACTGGATAGTGAGATGTGTTTTCTGAAGCTATTGTACCAATTTAATACCACAATGTTTCTACTGCTTTAAGAGCTTACCAACACTTCCCTCTGTTGAACTTCTCCATTTTTGTCAGTCTGATGAATATGCAATGGTATCTTACTTTTTATTTTATTTGTCATTTCTCTAATTAATGAAGCTGGACATCTTTTTATATGTTTAAATTGTAAACTGCCTGTTTCTTATCTTTGGCCAAATTCTCTGCTGGATTTTTTTTCTTATTGGCCTGCACAACAATCAGTTTTTCAGATATTTTGAATCCTGATTCTTTACCTGTTATATGTGTTGCAAATACCTTCTCTGATGCTGACTTATGTTTTCACCTTTTCAATGATCTTTTGATGAACAGAAGTTTAAAATCTTAATGGAATCAAATGAACCAAACCATTTTTTCATGACATATATTTTGTATTTTAAGAAACCTTCCCCTCCTGAGATCATACAAGTATTCTGTATTTTCTTCTAAACATTTTGAAGTGTCACTTCCACGTCGGGTCTTTAACCCATTGTGTCTGCTGTGAGGCCAAGTTCCAGTGACACGCTTTCTCCATATGCACAACCAAGGGTCCCAGTACTATTTCCTGCAGAAGGCACCCCTTGGCTACTCGCCCACAGCGCCCCCTGACAGGTACGCTGTCTCTGTATGGACCAGCGTCTGTTTCCCAGCACTCTTCCCTGTTGCACTGGCCTCTCTGTCTACTGCCTCCTCACCCTGCCTTCATTGCGAAAGCTCTACACAAAGTCTGGTTATCTGGTAAGTCTAGCCTTCTCTCCCCTTTTAACTTTCAAAGTCATCTTGTTTGCTTTTACTCTTTCATTTTGTTCTCTTAATTTTAGCGTCAGCTTTTGGCAACCCATAAAAAACACTCTGCCTTTATTTCTTATTGGAATTGCATTGATTTTATGGACTACTTTGGGGAGACTGCACCTCTAAGAAACTGAACCTTTCTATCCATGGTCTGATAGATCTTTCCATTTCTTTGTCTTCTTTAAACAACCTTCATATATTTGAATTGTTTTCTCCTTAAAGATCACACAAATCTGGGGCACCTGGGTGGCTCAGTTGGTTAAGTGTCTGCCTTTAGGGGTGCTGGGTGGCTCAGTCATTAAGCGTCTGCCTTCAGTTCAGGTCATGATCCCGGGGTCCTGGTTTTGAGCCCCGCATCGGGCTCCCTGCTCAGTAGGAAGCCTGGTTCTCCCTCTCCCACTCCCCCTGCTTGTGTTCCCTCTCTCGCTGTCTCTCTGTCTGTCAAATAAATAAAATCTTAAAAAAAAAAAAAGTGTCTGCCTTTAGCTTGGGTCATGATCCTGGGGTCCTGGGATCAAGCCCCATGCTGAGCTCCCTGCTCAGCAGGGTACCTGCTTCTCCCTCTGTCCTTCCCCCGTCTTGTGCTCTTGCTCTCTTTTTCTCAAATAAATTTTTTTAAAAATCACACATCTTTTATGAGATTTATTAGATTTTATTAAATCTTTTG